GCGACAAAATCGCTTTTTAAAATCAGGAAATTGTCCATAACTTGGCACCAGAAGCGAATTTTCCAAATTTTTCTTCGGATGTAACAACTTCATATTATGACACATATTTTGTGAAAGTTTCATGAAAAACCGCTGAATAGTTTTCGAGAAATCGCCTGCACAAAATTTTGTCTAAAAAAATAATAATAATAATAAGAATAATAAGAAACAGTAGAATCACTATAAGGTCTTCCGTGAAGACGGAAGACCTTAATAATAATAATAAGAAACAATAGAATCACTATAAGGTCTTCCGTGAAGACGGAAGACCTTAATAATAAGAAACCGAGTAAAAACAATATGTTCCCAAACTCCGTTTGGGGAACATAATAATAATAATAATAAGAAACAGAGTAAAAACAATATGTTCCCAAACTTCGTTTGGGGAACATAATAATAATAAGAAACCGAGTAAAAACAATATGTTCCCAAACTCCGTTTGGGGAACATAATAACACAAAATTGATAAAAAAAAAATATTTCTGTCAATACGGAGGTAGGGGTAAAATGCCACGCAGTATTTATGAGAAAAAAAAGAATATTGTCTCATCCCCTCCTTTTATCAAAATATTATAATTATGAATGATGAATAAATTGGATCTAAATCAAAATAAAGATACAAGAAATACTTTCAACACCTTAATTATTAGCCTTTATTATGTTCTTGCAGATCTATAGACATACTGCATTTCATTTTTGATATTCTGTCCCCGAGTGATAGGCCTACGTCACAATAGATCGAAAACTTGAGATGTGCACACTAAAACTGCACCTCTTAGCGGAGATGAAACAAGTGCGCGGATCCTGGATCTTGCAATTTTTAAAGCCTGTTTTATGTACTAAACACTTTTCACTTTCATTTCCTCTTGTGATATTTGGTTGTCCAAGTAAAGGAAAACGTTCAGTAATAAAAATAATGTTTAAATGATGTACCTTAGTGACAGAATACCTTATATTACGCACAATGCCTATATGCCATTTTGATGCAAAGAGAAAGTTCGGGAAAATAGGGTACCTGTGACGTCGTACTTCGAAATATGACGTCGAACAGGAGTTGTTTGCAGTGCATTGGCAGTGTTGACATCGCAGCGTTTCACTGGCTATTTGTTGGATTTAATCGTTATTACGACTATATGTTTTCAGTTATCGTGATGAATATGCATTGGTATGTACTTTCGTTCTCTTGCTCCGTGATTTATTTTCTTCGGGAGATCGGCATGTGCACATGGTGTAGGGACCCGGGTCTAGCCTTCATTCATGGGTACTTGGAATGAAATACTTAGGATTTAAGCGCATCGTGACAGTAAATAACACTTCTACGGTGTTAATTACCGTTTATTACGTACATTGCGTGGACTGATTAACAATGCAGACCGAATACACATATTGGATATGGATTTACTACAAGAGTATTAACTAACGCAAATGGCGCATGCCCAAAGGGGTTAGTCGACACACGGCGGCGACTAACCCCTTTGAGCATGCGCCAACTAACCCAGTAAAAAAATCATCTAACCCCTGCCAGTACATGCAACCTTGTTTACACCAATAAATAAACAAACAAACAAACACAACAATAAATAAACAAACAAATAACAAAGAAATAAACAGATAAGAAGAAACAATTCACAGAAAATAGAATACCTTATTTAATGAGTTTATAAACAAAATATTTACCCAAATACTTACAATTAAAATATGTAGAGATCTAAGGCAACATTTTTTTCTACTGAGCTACAAATACATGTAAGGAGACTTAGTAGCTTATCTTTTTTAATTCTTTAAATTCCGAATGAAATAATTATTCCGAGTTGAAATAATACCCTGTTTAATGCATTATCACTATAATAATCAAAAGAGCCCCGCCCTAACACCAGAACCCCAGATCCTGTGGCCATTAAATTCAATAATTTGGAAGAGGCTCTCTTACCTGTTATATATGTTACCATGTATTTAGTTAGATTATTTTATGCACAGGAGCAGAGAAGATTTTCAAAAACAAGAGGCCCATGGGCCACATCGCTCACCTTTGACCATTCTGTCCATTACCATTTTTCCCCCTTGTAATACATATTGTGACCCCACTCTATCCCACTGATCATAATTTAGACATTTTGAAATCTACACTACCATGGATGCTTTGATTCCCCATTGTAAAACTTTGATTCCCCATTGTGGCCTCGCCCTACCCCCGGGGGTCAAGATTTGAACAATTAAGAATCTAAACAACCACCGGATGCTTCCACATAAGTTTCAGCATTTCTGGCCCAGTGGTTTTTTTAGTAGAAGATTTCAAAAGATTTTTCCTATATATTCCTATGTAAAACTTTGATTCCCCATTAAAGCCCCGCTCTACAGTCCGGGGGGGTCATGATTTAAACAATTAAGAATCTACACTACACCAGAATGCTTCCACATAAGTTTTAGCTTTTCTGGCCCAGTGGTTCTTGAGAAGATTTCAAAAAAATTTTCCTATATATTTCTATGTAAAACTTTGATTCCCCATTGTGTTCCCGCCCTACCCCGGGGGTCATGATTTGAGAAATTTAGAATCTGTACTACCCCAGGATGCTTCCACGCAAGTTTCAGCTTTTTTTTGCCCATGGGTTCTTGAGAAGAAGATTTTTTAATGACCCAGCCTTATTTTTGTCTTTTCTTAATTATCTCCCCTTGTGAGGGGATTTGGCCCTTCATTTTAACAATTTGTATTCCCATTAACCAAAGGATGCTTGTACCAAGATTGGTTAAAATTGGTCCAGTGGTTCATGAGAAGAAGTCGAAAATGAGAAAAGTTTACAGACGGACAGACAAACAGACAGACAAAATATGATCAGAAAAGCTCACTTGAGCCTTCGACTCAGGTGAGCTAAAAATAATGCAATTGCACTATATAATCTATATAGCCCCACCCAAGCACTAGAACCCCTGACCCTGGGGCCATAAATTACACAATTCTGGTAGAGGACTAAATGCTTATTACATTTATGCCATCAGTTTGACTACAAGATGTCCAGGAGTAAAGAAGATTTTTAAAGATGTCATTAATTCTAGTGGTTTTGGTCCCACTCCTCAAGCCTCCTGGGGGGGGGGGGGGGGGGCAGGGACCATAAAATTCACAATTTTTGTTCCCCTTTACCCATAGATGCTGTATACTAAATTTGGTTGAAATTGGTTCAGTGGTTTCAGAGAAGAAGCTGAAAATGCTTAAATGTTAACACACGACACAATACGGACAACGACGGACGAAAACAGATAGCAATAGGTCTCCTGAGTGGCTCAGGTGACCTAAAAATGATATTTTGTTTCTTATATTTATATTTAATGTTTTTATTCATGTCACAAAGAAACTAAGTGGACCAACTGACCAACCAACAGCAGAAAAGCAATATATGCCCTCTCTTGGAATGTCTCTATGGACTGGACAGGGAATATAAAAAAATTTCTTCCAGTGACCTTGAACTTTCCCAAATGACCTTGGGTCAAGGTCATGACACATCCTTGGGTCATGGGCAATCTTTGTGTGAAATGAGAACCTACCAAGTTTATCTGTAAAAGAAATGTATCAAACATGATTTATGAAAATTTTCTTCCAGTGACCTTGAACTTTCCCAAATGACCTTGGGTCAAGGTCATGACACCCCCTTGGGTCATGGGCAATCTCTGTGTGAAATGAGAACCTACCAAGTTTATCCATAAGAAAGATATGGACCAGACACCAATTATGAAATTTTTCTTTCAGCGTCCTTGAACTTCTCCAAATGACCTTGCGTCAAGGTCATGACACACCCTTAGGTCATGAGCAATCTTAGTGTGGAGTAGTAGATTCTAATGTCCCTCTGTAAGAAAGATATGGACCGGACACGATTGCACAGACAGACGGACAGACAGACAGACAGACGGACAAGGTGATTCCTATATACCCCCCCCCCCAAACTTCGTTTGCGGGGGGGTATAACTAAATCAAATTTTGTTGAAATTGACTCAGTGGTTCTGGAGAAGAAGTTAAAATTGTTAAACAAGAGGCCCATGGGCCACATCGCTCACCTGAGAAGCTCTGACCATTTTGTTCTTTACCAGATTTCCCCCTTGTTATACATAATGCACCCCCACCCTACCCCACTGATCATAATTTAGACATTTTGAAATCTACACTACCCCATGATCCTTCCATTGGCACATATGTTTCAGCTTTCTTGGCCCAGTGGTTCCTGAGAAGAAGATTTTTAAAGATTTTTCCTATATATTTCTATGTAAAACTTTGATTCCCTATAATGGCACCGCCCTTCCCCTGGGGGTCATGATTCCTACAATTCCTACAATTTAGAATTTATACTACCCCAGAATGCTTCCACATAAGCTTCACTTTATCTGGCCCAGTGGTTCTTAAGAAGATTTTCAAAGATTTTTTTTCTATATTTTGCTATGTAAATCTTGGTTCGTCAGTTGTGGCCAAGCGCGACCCTCGTTGGTCATGATTTGAACAATTTAGAATCTACATTATACCAGGATGCTTCCACACTTGATTATCTCCCCTTGCGAGGGGATTTGGCCCTTCATTTTAACAATTTAAATTTCCCTTCACCCAAGGATGCTTTGTACAAAGTTTAGTCAAAATTGGCCCAGTGGTTCTTGAGAAGAAGTCGAAAAATGTGAAAAGTTTATCGACGGACAGACAGACGGACGGACAACAGACAAAATGTGATCAGAAAAGCTCACTTGAGCCGAAGGCTCAGGTGAGCTCAAAAGTTTTCAACAACATCATTGACAACAACAGAAAATGGATAAATTTTAATCAGGTAAGTTCATTTGAGCCTCCGGCTCAGGTGAGCTAAAAGTTTACATATACTACACAATGGCCATAACATTGGCTTTTGTGGGCAATTGAATCAGAAGAGCTTAATTCGGTCCATTTGTTTACATAGTATTTAGTCTTTTTTTTCAAAAAGTTCATACTGTATGACTTAATATGACTCTAGTGAAATGATCCATGATCCAATTCCATCATACAATTTAGTAATACATGTATTCATCACAATCAATGAAGACAATGAATAAAGAATACCTTGGATGCTATCCTTCACATCAAAGACATCTGTGTGGATATCGACTCCTCTGGTTGAACTGATATTTTTCTTTATTTCTTCCAGGTCAATGCCCTTCAGTCTCTCTAACAATGTGGTTTTACCACTACCAGCACACCCTATTATCATTCCAGAGGCATGGAACATGGTTGTCTTCCCTTTTTTTAAATTCTCAATGAAATTCTTCACAGATTTATCTCCCCTTAAGATGATCTGCATTGGTATTCCTACTGTATTGACAAAATACAAGTAGAACAGATCTTAGCTGCAGATCTGTAGCATTACGGTTCTATATATTTGTCTTAGACTATAATGCTACAGATCCCCAAATGCAAAAAGGTGCAAACCCTTGGGTCATGGTCAATCTTTGTGTGAAATGAGAACATACCAAGTTTACCATAAGACAGATATGGACCAGAGACAAATCATGAAATTTTACTTCCAGTGACCTTGAACTTTCCCAAATGATTTGGGTCAAGGTCATGACAAACCCTTGGGTCATGGGCAATCTTATTGTGAAATGAGAACCTACCAAGTTTATCCATAAGAAAGATATTGACCAGACACAAATCATGAAATTTTACTTCCAGTGACCTTGAACTTCCCAATTGACCTGGGTCAAGGTCATGACAAACCCTTTCGTCATGGTAAATCTTTGTGTGAAATGAGAACCTACCAAGTTTATCCATAAGAAAGATATGGTCCAGACATGAATCATGCATTTTTTTTTCCAGTGACCTTGAACTTCCCCAAATGACCTTGGGTCAAGATCATGATACACCCTTAGGTCATGGGCAATCTTTGTGTGAAATGAGAACCTACCAAGTTTATACATAAGAAAGATATGGACTGGACAAGAATCATAAAATTTTTCTTCCAGTGACTTTGAAATTTCCCCAAATGACCTTGGGTCAAGGTCATGACAAACCCTTGGGTCAAGGGCAATCTTTGTGTGAAATGAGAACCTACCAAGTTTATCCATAAGAAAGTACTGTAGATCATGGATATGGACCGGACAAGAATCAGGAATTTTTTCTTCCAGTGACCTTGAAGTTCCCCAAATGACCTTGAGTCAAGGTCATGACACACCCTTGGGTCATGGGCAATCTTTGTGTGAAATGGGAACTTACCAAGTTTATCCATAAGAAAGATATGGACCGGACATGAATAATGAAATTTTTCTTTCAGCGTCCTTGAACTTCTCCAAATGACCTTGGGTCAAGGTCATGATACACCCTTAGATCATAAGAAAACGTTTGGTGAAGTAGTAGATTGTAATATTCCTCCGGAAGAAAAATATGGACCGGACATATTTGCACAGACAGACGGACAGCTAGACAGACAGACAAGGTGATTCCTATATACCCCCCCCCCCAACATTGTGTGCGGAGGGGTATAGATAAGATCTAAAAGCTTAAATTTATAGTTATAGATGAAATCACAGACAAATACATGTAATTCATTTACTTCTTTTGTTAAATTTTGTCCGAGTAACCGTCTGAAAATAGACTTACCTTTCTTAAATACAACTTCATGGAATGACTGGTCCTCCATTGTTGGGTGCGTGAAAATGTCTTCTCCAAGACGTTTTAAAAATTCCTCATTTTTATCTGGCAGTAACCAACAGCAAACCTCATCTTCTCTTCTCCGATAATTCCATGATCTACAGTACTCAGCTACGTTTTCTTTCTCTGCCCCAGTCAAGAAAACTTCAGTAAAGCCAGAACTCTCTAAGAACTTCAGGAAACTGATATTTTTGAAGAGCTCATTGGAAAAACTTATCTCTGATTCACTGAGTTTCAGGATTGGTTTGTATTTTTCTAAATCTGTTAGAGCAAATGTCTTTGTGACTTCCTTGGAAAGAAATCTTTCGGCAACAGCATTATATTTGGTCATCCAGTTTACTTCTTTCATGTTTATTTTGTAAGAATTGGAAAGAAGAAGGCACATCAAAAGTGTATCTCCATCTACAAAATAAACAAGAAATATATAAAGGTAATTGACTGATTGATTGTATGTTGTTTAACATCCCATTCGAGAATATTTCACTCATGTAGAGATCACACCATATACCAGTGAAATTTTTTAAATTTTGACCTTAACTCGGCACTCAGGGCCATTGAGCATCTCAATACTGTACATATAATTGATCTCTCTAGTACATTTATTCAATATAACTGAGAAAGGGGTTGTCATGGAAGCCTAATTAACATGTTTATCTGCTAATGTTGTCACAATGATCGATTTATAACCGATAATCAATCGGTAAGGCTGACAATTTTAGACAATCGATTATAATTGATATATTTCAGCACACGTACTTGTCAGATCTTTTTATTGTTTTCTTACTTTTATTTCAAGCCTTTGGCTCAAAAGACCTATTAAAAGCAGCTCTTGTAATCAATGTAAATAATCCATATATCTTCCAAGTGTTGGCAAGATATTCAATACAAGAGGCCCAGGGGCCACAGCGCTCACCTGAGCACATCGGGCTTGAATTTACTCCCCCCCTCCAGGCGTTCATCATTTGAACAAACTAGAATCTACACTACCTGAGGATGATTCCATATAAATATCACTAATCATAGCTTTGAAGTACTTGAAAAGAAGATTTTAAAAGGTTTCCCTATATATCCCTATGTAAAACTTGGGTCAGCCATTTTGGCCCCACCCTAGCCATGGGGGTCATGATTTGAACAAACTTGAATCTACACTACCTGAGGATGATTCCACATGAGTTTCATCTTTCCTGGCCCAGTGGATCTTCAGAAGGATTTTTAAAGATATTTCCTATATATTCCTATGTAAAACTTGGGTCGGCCATTTTGGCCCCACCCTTGCCCCGGGGGTCATGATTTGAACAAACTTGAATCTACACTACCTGAGGATGATTCCACATGAGTTTCATCTTTCCTGGCCCAGTGGTTCTGGAGAAGAAGATTTTTAAAGATTTTTCCTATATATTCCTATGTTAAACTTCGGTCGGCCATTTTGGCCCCACCCTTGCCCCGGGGGTCATGATTTGAACAAATTTGAATCTACACAACCTGAGGATGATTCCACATGAGTTTCATCTTTCCTGGCCGAGTGGTTCTGGAGAAGAAGATTTTTAAAGATTTTTCTTATATGGGTCATTTTCAAAAAATGTCCACTTTTTAAATAACATATTTTTGAAAAATGAAAGTGGTTTTACTATGATTTTTTCAACTTTATTTGAATAATATAGTAATAAACTCCTAAAATCCACTGCATTGCATAAAAGAAAAATATTTCTTTTAAAAAATATTGACATTTTATCTTAGTCATTTAAATTTTAATGTCCTTCCTGTTACTTTCATAAAAAGAGCTGTAAAACTCTATTTCAAAATTTTTTATCTAATAATCTTTTGTATATCGTCAAAAAATGAAAAAAATATCATTGAATGCCAAGATGTTTGACATTCATCTAATATATGAGCGTTTAAAAGCATGTCAAACTACCATATAACAAACAGAAGCAAAATCTATGGGTTTTTCTTCATGAAAAGCCTTATTGCTGAATATTTATATGCTATAGTTGAAAAAAACATTCTTGTACATTATTTTTGTGATAAGAATAAACAGTTACAGAAAGTTATTTGAACAGGTGCTCTTCCAAAGCAATTTAAACTAGGAAAATATACTGGTAGCAGTAAGGACTCAGGTAACAGGAAGGACAAAACAGTAACAGGATGGACAAAACAGTGTAAGAGGATGGACAATGAAATCTACATTTGAAATAAAAATTGACTTTTTTTTTTAACTTTATTGGTTAGGAAAAGAGAAATAAATGTAGAATAAAAACATGATTTTGTCAAATCTGGCAAATTCGAGACAACAAAAGACATTTATGTCCATCCTGTTACGAAATTTAATTGTAAAGTGCTATTAAAATATTTATCACTTCATTTTTTGTTTATTAAAGGTACTCTATGCTGTTGCAAAACTAAGAATTTTTCATAATTTTAAGAAAAAGAAATGATAAAACTTAAATCGGTATATAAATACCAGGATAATTAGTCCCTCCTGTTACAAATTCTGTCCATTCTGTTACAAGAGTGCATGTTTAAGTAATAATGGCACTATTTGAAGCACTAACATATTTCAATATGATTTACGAAGTTTTTTAACATGTGTTATTAAACTTATATTACTTAGAAAAATAAAAGTAATTGTTTTTATTGTTAAAATTTAAGATATGAAGTCCAGTTTTCCTTACTGTTACCATATTAATGGTAACAGAAATGACAGTAACAGGATGGACATTATTCATATAAATCACCCGTTATTTAGTATAACGTACTCTTTTTGCATCATGGAGACATTGAAACAATTTCTCTGTAGCTTAGTATATCTAATTGTTTTAGCAGAATAAACAATTTAAAGAGTACTTGCATATTAAGAAGGTAACAGATAGGACGTATTTTAATTATACTCTACCAATAAGACAAACGTATCGACCTTTGAACCCTTTCTTTACTCACTTTCAAATCATGGCGCGCATAAACTTGAGACAACAGAAAATGATGATATATTGTGGATCATGAAAACAGTTCCTAGGAAAGTGAGATAACTTTTATTTTAACATTTTCTTTTTGGTAACAGGAATGACATAAACTGGAGGGACATGTCACTTCCTGAATGTTAAATGCACAATACTAGTATTTAGTGGGCGGCATAAGTAAAACAATCATATTAAATTAATCTGTAAATAAATCCAGTTAATATGACGTGCAAAATTTGTACATATCTTCACGTGGTAATATTTTCCCTATCATTTAAATAAGCACGTTATAAAATTTTTGTTAATGTGACATGGTTTTGCTGTTAAATTTTACTCGGAATGCATAGAATATTTTTTATAAAACACCTGGGAGATGATCATAAAATAACTTTTAAGCTGTATGACCATGTATATTAACCAACGGGAAAAAAACTTTCACTCTAAAATTTGTTTTTCCTATTTTTCTGATCAAAAGACAAAAAAGTGGACTTTTTTTGAAAATGGCCCATATATCCCTATGTAAAACTTGGGTCAGCCATTTTGGCCCCACCCTTGCCCCAGGGGTCATGATTTGAACAAACTTGAATCTACACTACCTGAGGATGCTTCCACATGAGTTTCATCTTTCCTGTCCTAGTGGTTCTTGAGAAGAAGATTTTTAAAAAAATTTCCTATATATTCCTATGTAAAACTAGGGTCGGCCATTTTAGCCCCACCCTTACCCCTGGGGTCATGATTTGAACAAACTTGAATCTACACTACCTGAGGATGATTCCACATGAGTTTCATCTTTCCTGGCCCAGTGGTTCTGGAGAAGAAGATTTTTAAAGATTTTTCCTATATTTTCCTATGTAAAACTTGGGTCGGCCATTTTGGCCCCACCCTTGCCCCGGGGGTCATGATTTGAACAAATTTGAATCTACACTACCTGAGGATGCTTCCACATGAGTTTCATCTTTCCTGGCCCATCGGTTCTGGAGAAGAAGATTTTTTAAAAATGCCATTAATTTTTAACAAATTTATGATTATCTCCCCTTGGAAAAGGGCGTGGCCCTTCATTTGAACAAACTTGAATCCCCTTTACCCAAGGATACTTTGTGCCAAGTTTGGTTGAAATCGGCCCAGTGGTTCTTGAGAAGAAGATGAAAATGTGAAAAGTTTACGACAACAACGACAACAACGACAACGACGACGACAACGACAGACGACGGACAAATTTTGATCAGAAAAGCTCACTTGAGCCTTCGGCTCAGGTGAGCTAATAAAAAAAGATTATTTCTGGGAAAAAAACTGAAAATTGGAAAAAAAAAAGACGGTATTTTTTTTTTTAGAGGGGAAAGGGCTGATATTCGGACTTAAATTGGATTCAGAAAAAAATAACTGCATTGTTTCAAGTGATCAATTTACACCACTAGATGGTGATCATTTTTTTAGCAATAGTAAAGGACGTAGGACTCTGTAAGCCTCTGTATAAAACTTTAAACACATGTACAATTGTGTACATTTATAAGTTAAAGTAAAGGGCCTTCATCATAATAAATGTAAAAAAAATCATCATTTGCATAATTTATGGGAGGTGACAGGGATTAATCTAGGTTTTTGAGAAAACTACCCTTTCTAGATAAATTGGGAAAAATCAGTCGGGGGTCTGGGGGCCTGGAGCGGGTGCAGGTCAGAGACCTGCTAGGGAAGCCCAATAGGGAAAATTGAATTTCAGCATTTTTAAGACCATTTGGAGTGCATAAAATAGCAAAGAAAAATCATATTTTAAAGATGCATCCTCTTAGAATTTATACTTTAAATTTCTAATTTTTATTGAAAAAATTACTAAGATAGAAAACTGTGACAAATTCTTTTCTTAAAACTCCAAAATGATACTGAATTATGAAATTGATGTACAGTTTCACTACAGTTTTTAAAATATTCAATTCAATTCTATATAAAATAAAAATGTTCATATTCCTCGGCACTTTCGGTTTGATTGAACTCGTCATCATCACGATCGTTTGAACTTTCTGCTTCTGACTCCGCTATGTCTACATCTTCGGAAGAATCCACAGGTTTTGGATGTTTTTTGTAAACTTTGTATCTGATTCATTTTTTAACATGCATTAGCATCTTCTTTACGAAGTTTTTTAAACTTCTCCATTCTCGGTGGTCCGAGACTGTCCGGTGACATGTTGCTTTATGAAGTTAACTTGTTCTAAAATTATTTCGATTGAAGTCTGTATCGTCCAGACGTTTTGCACTTACCTCAACATGCGGGTAAACGCAAACGTCTGGCTGATACAGACATACGAGATCAGAAACACTTTAAGTATAACTTGCCTAGAGATCGCGACGACGAGGAAATCCGCGAAATGCAAATTTGAGAACTCAATAAAAAGAAGAGGGAAACTATCTGAGATTTTTAGGGGAAAATTTTACTTATCAAAGTGGGAAAATTAGGTTTCCAGGGGAAAAATTCTCTAGGGGAAAAATACCGAATATCGGTAGTAAAAATGCCCTAGATTAATCCCTGGGTGATTTATGATGACTTGCTAAAGTGACCATGGGTCAAGGTCAACACACAAAATCATTGTGTCTAGCAGAAGCTTTTAGTGTTTCACAATAATATTTGGTCTGGACATAATTGTACAGACACAGAAATAAACATCTAGACAGACAAACCCACAAGGTGATCTTCATATATATACCTTTAAGTTTGTTGCAGACAAACCTACAGACAATAAGGCAGATAACTAAATGGATGGTCCACAATCGTTGATTTCTCATTTGGTGTTTGGCTAAGGTCATGAAAGGTCACAGTGATAAACATTTTATTTGATAACTAAAGCAGATTGAAAGTCAATTTCTAAAAATATATTTCATTTGTTATATATATATATAAAATTTTTAAGATTTCAAACAATTACCTTCTATTCTGTGAATGTTGTCAAACAATGTCTCTATATCTATAAGGTCATGTCTGCTGTGACCCTCAGACCTGGTACATTTCACACACAAGAGGACACCACACGGGGTACAGAACTGGTCCAGGGGAATTCTGGGATGTTTTCTACATTTGATGTCCTCCACAGGGAGTCCTGTTCGAAATTTACAAAAAGTTTTATTCTGTAAACAATCAGTCAATGCTGATCAATCTTCACTAAACAAAGGCATAATATTTTGGTACTCTTTTTTATAACAAAGTACCAATATTCATGATTTTGGAGTTTTTAGAAACAAATTTAGATATTACAATGTACCGTATATCCATTGTTTGTTTTGTTAGAAATTTCACGAAAAATGGGTAGGTTAGCATGATTAGATTAGTTATTTTTTACGATTGACTTTTTTGATTTAAAATGGTAACGTTTTTATGTCACATTTTAGCTGACATAATTTCTGTGTGTTTATATTTTGCAAATTAAAAATGGTCGCAAAATATGTGAAAAATAGATCATCGTGAAAAAATGGATATACGGTATTTACCTTCATTAGAAAAACTCTATTCAATTATATGCCAAGATGTACAGGGGGAGAATATTTTTTCAATATTGTGGTGATAAAACTTCACTGATCTATGATCTAAAATGATTTTGTAATTGTATGGAAATTTATTGTTTCCAATATATTGACATATGATACATTATAAACAATATAAAACAAGATAAGTTTGTGAAACACTATGCGCCCGGCAACAACAAAGTTGGAAAAAAGCTATTTTTAGCATATAGGTCAATGTCATCATCACAAGGTCACTGACCTTGGTATCATTTGAAAGAACTTGATTAGTGGAGTATGCATACCAAAGAAGAAGTTTCTATCTCTCATGCTTCAAAAGTTGTGGTTTAGGTTCAAAAAACTATTTTTAGCATGAAAGTCACAGTCAAGGTCACATGGTCATTGACCTTGGTGTCATTTGGAAGAATTAAATTAGTGAAATATGCATACCAAATATGAAGTCTCTAACTCCTAAGTTAAAATAGTTATAGTGAAAGTTTGAAAAAAGCTAATTTTGGCATATAGTAAGAGTGCAACGATAAACCGTTTGTCGGTATACCGCAGTTTATTTGTCAACGGTTCGGTTCACGATACGTGAGACTGATACCACGGTTCGGTTCAATCGGTCCGTAATTATCCGATTCGTCCGTTTTGGTTCGTCATTTACAATTTCAAAACGGCTTCCGCACGAAACATAAGGTCAATGAAACTGCAGAAACGGCAAATAAACTAGTTTCCAGTCTCATATTTAACGGGCCGAAGGATGCTATCACTTTCCTAGTGTTAGTGTAATGAGCATTTGATAAAACTTTTGAGTTTACAGTATATGATGACAAACGTCTGACTTTTTAACCCAATATGTCATGTATCGTGATACGTATTGTACCGTGAACTGAATACCGTGATACGTATCGTATCGTGGGGTGGGCGTATCATTGCATATAGGTCACAGTCAAGGTCACAAGGTCATTGACCTTGGTGTCATTTGGAAGACCTTCATTAGTGGAGTATTCCTACCAAATATGAGGTCTCTATCTTTCATGGTTCAAAAGGTATGGCCAAGGTTAAAGTTTCCAGACAAACAGCCATTTACAAGGACACCCCACCTTATGACCCCCCCAAAAAATACAAAACAGTGACACTCACACAATAACTGGAGTGTAAATAAATATTAAAAGTATAAATCCAATCATTTGCTCATAAATAGTGTGTATGCAGTCTAAGTGTTCAGAAGTTTTGAATTCTAACAAACATAACTTGACCTAGAACAATCATACCATGTAACCCAACCCCCCCCCCCCCCCAATCCAACCCCCATACCCCCAGCCTAGTACCTCCAGCCCCCAAAGTATCAACAGAAATTAACCCTACATATTTCTGTCAGTTACCTTCAATGCTTGTATAACATTGTACAATTAAAACACTTTGGTGCATTATCAGCTAAGGGCTTCCAGTCTCTTAAATTCATTTAATTGGGATACATATGGTTACAAATGGTCAGAATAAATCTAATGATAAATATATTAGTATTTCCTCCTTCATCATATCTTGTACTTACATTTAATACAAGTAGTAATACATGTACATGTAATAAAATCATATTTCTTATTTCATGTACAACTATTTTTAAACAAGGCAGGAGGCTAATTTTTTCCAGGAATTATTTTTTCACCTTTATAATGAACAGGGAGGTAACTTAATTTTCTTCTTCAACTTCAAGTACAAAATTGAATTATCTCCCTTTCATTAGCAAGTTACTAAAATTGATCACTGTAGTTGCATTTAGGTTTATTCTTTGGTGTCTAAGAAATAACTTTTTGTTCATAAAGTTGAAGTGAATCTTAAACTTTATTATGGATTTTAAGCTTTAAAACTGATGGTTATCTCTATATTTCATCTAGAAGTTTCTCCTACACAAAATGTCAACCCAGTACACAGTGTGAATTTCCCCCACACCTGCTACAGAAATACACAACAATTGAACATTCTTAGAGACAGCTGTGTTAATATCACTGGTGTCTATATCTACATGTAACTGTCAACATCAACACAAAATCTCATCTGTTTTGAATGTAGAATTTACTTAAACTGAATACATTATAAAAGAATATTGTAATAATTATAAAATATTTTAAAATTTAATCACTAACTACTTCTCAAAAAATTATCATACTACACTAATTGTATTTATCGAACAAAACAACACAATATTTCAAAAGTTGGTAATTATACCCCCATTGACCTGTTGACAGTAATCAGTATATTGTACAAAAATCCATGAACCAAATATCAATGTACATCATATGAATCAGTGACTGAAGAGTTACACACAATACCTGAACACTATACAATTAATTACAAACTGGATGTAAATCTATCATTTCTTTGTAATTGTGTCGTTTTATTGTGTTTATCATCATAAACGTTATCTTTAACATCTAATGTTTGTTGTTAACATGGTGAGTAGAGTTGGGTATTGCGAGGGAAAACCATATTGCGATATATTGCAATATTTTACCTTGAATATTGCAATATATTGCAATATATTGTAGATTAATTATCATTAATAAATTTGAGCAGAATGTTTGAAATGCTGTCAAGTTCGAAGACTATTTGAATTTTATCTTTAAATTTTAAAGGGGGATACACAGCCAATTGTGCCTAACGTTAATTTAACATGAAAATAACGTTAATTTAACGTTAAATATTTAACGTTAAATTAACGTCAATCGAGCTTATACATGAATTTAACGTTAAAAAATTAACATTAAATTAACGTTATTTTCATGTTAAATTAACGTTAAGCATTAAATTAACGTTAATTAGTTCACACTAATTTAACGTTAAAATGCATATAAATTGTGTGCATATTTTTGGAATTTTCCTTCCTATTCTTCCAGAGAAATACATGTTCTTGCATCATAGCAGAAGCTTCACTGATACTACATGTAATCATAATTATTTCTCTAAAGGAACACCAGAAGCTCATCAATTTTGCACTTTTCCTTGTAGCACTGCAGAAAGCTAGGCTTGCATGTTGACTTCATCCCTGGTGTCACTTTCTTTTCAATTTGAATATATCCAAAAGGATAAAGGGACCCATCAGCTCTTTCAACAAAATCTCTAAAATTCTGAGCATTGCCTCCAATTTCAAATTTTCTGAAGAAAAGAGAAAAACACCAATTCATCCATTAATACTTTTAATCAGGCATATTCAATACAATGCTACAAATCTTCTTTCTTTTTCCAATCTGAAAAATAAGAGAGGCAAATACATATATTATATTAATTATATGAAAATAAAATACTTTAGCAATACATTAACAACTCAAATTTGTCTAAAAGGTAATGAATGAAACAAGAGGTCCATTGGCCACATCCCGCAACTGGGCTAGCTAAAAAACACAGATCAGTTAAGTATTGAGAAGCTTACTTCATACTTATTGGGGGAGCGGGATTTGAATTTTCTATTACTTGAAAATGTCACTATTACAATACAGCATACATATATTATTTTGCCATATTTGAAAAGAAGATTTTTAAAGATTTTTCCAACACATTACCTGATCTCCCATTGTGACCCCTCGCTAACCCACAATCCCTGGGGCATTATTTGAATAAATATAAATTTTTACTACTTGCAGATCATGTCAATTCGACAAAACAATTTTTTCTGTTCTGGAGAAGATTCTTTTTCCTATGTATTCTTATGCAAGTCTGTGATCCCTCATTGTGGCCACACCCTAACCCTGGGGGTCATGATTTGAACAAATTGAATCTACATCTGGTACCTATGGATGCTTCCACACCACGTCATGAGATTTATCATTCCTGTCCTAATGGTTCTGAAGAAGATTTTTAAAAGGTTTTTCCGATGCATTCCTATGTAAAATTTTGGTCGGTCATTGTGGCCCCATCCAACCCCCGGGATCATGATTTGATCAAACTTGAATCTACACTACCTGAGGATGATTCCACATAAGTTCGTCTAAGATTAAAAAAGGTTTTTCCTATGCATTTCTATGTAAAACTTGGGAACAAATTTGAATCTACACTACAGGGGTCAAGAGGTTATAGATGTGCGTATCGATAAATGTTCAACGGAATTTATCAGTGACGTCATAAAGGGTCGACACGCATTCAGTGTCTTGTATACATGCCATTGGTTTTGAAAAATAATGCATCTTGCATTTTTTGCATTTTGCATTCCCCCCCCCCCCCCCCCCCGGGTTGAAGAGGCTTTAAAGTACACTATCTGAGGATGCTTCCATTTAAGTTCCATCTTTCCTGGCCCAGTGGTTCTTCAGAAGAAGTTGAAAAGTGAAAAGTTAACAGATGGACAGACAGACACTGAACAAAATGTGATCTAAAAAGTTCACTTGAGGTCTCGGCTCAGGTGAACTAAAAAGCTACTAGTATTTAAAAATAGTGTTGTCACGATGATCGATTTATAATCGATGATCGGTCGGACAGGCTGTCGATTTTAGACAATCAATTGGAGATTTTAACAATCGATTAATCGGTATATTTCAGCACATATCTTTTTACAGTTTTCTCACTTTTATTTCAAGAACAGGCTCTTATTATCAAATTATATATCTTTCAAGAGTTGTCCTTTACTATTTTAAACTGTTTATTAAATAAATCATAAGATAATGATATTTGTATTTCTAAACTGAAGAAACTAAACTACTTGTATAAATGAAATATATTAGTTTTCAGTGTTTGGGGAAATTCACCTGTCATTTCATACGGAACACAGGGATTTGCAATAATAAATGTCTCATAACAGTTTAAAAAAATAATTCCATATACATAATGTACATTTTAGATGATCATGTAAAACCTGATCTGTGAAAGCTTACTTTTCCCAGGCCAAGTTATTTTTAATCATGCAAAAATCTGTATTACTGAAATTGTTAATCAAACTGCATATATACTGTTTTTAGCATTTCAATTTTTACAATGCACTTTTACTTACATTATTTAAAAATAAAATTCTAAATTTTATAAAATCTAACGCCTATTTGATGCAAAGGGTTACCGATTCGATTATTGGCCGATAATCAGTTGGTTAGGGTCAACCGATGCTACCGATTAATCGATTCTGATTTTCAACTGATTTGACAACACTATTTAAAAACTATATACTTCAATATATATTACTATACAGTGAGACTGGCAAACAGACATTGTGTTTCCAGTATACTTTCACAAAAATTTAGGGGTGACATATTAAATGGTTTTAAATATTTGATATGTGTTCAGAATAAATGCACTTTACCTGGTATTTTGAAGATTGCTTAAGGTGATGAAATATATTCACTTTCTGTGATTATCATGTTCATGTCAGCAAGACTTTATACTGAGTTAACCTACAATTATAAAAAAATAATTAAAAATCATTTATTTAAAATGTAATATCTTCAACATATATGATATTCATAGATAGAAACCAAGTTTTATGTGCAGTGTCTGATTCAAAGCAAACTTTTAGTACAGTGAAAGCAACTTGGCTTTAAATTTGTCTCTTTAGCATAAACTCTAGATCAAGTTATTATAATAAAATTTTTTCTAAATGAAAATTATGAATACACTATGTATATACTATTTCATAAATGACCTTTATTCCTGCATGGTTATCCTGAAAAACATCAATTCAAGGAGGCACCAAGGAATGGTATATAGAGGCTGTAGTCTGCTCTTTTCTCCATGTCTTGCATACAAGTATCTTTTCTGTAATATGCAGTAAAAGAAAAAATCTTGATATAATAATGCTTATTAAATGTTTCTGAACAAAATATTGACAAGTGTCAAGTAGTGACAAGTACTTAACTGGTATTTTAAAAAATCAGTTGGGGTGTGTGAATGTAAATTTCACTGTCATTAAATTTACTGTGGGAATTGTTTACATTTTGTTCCACTTTCAATACCTGTTTTGTGTTCCACTGGCATTATAATTTAGGCAGCTGGGTTCCTCCGAGTCTCGATGACAAAGTCCGATTTGATCCATTTCAGAAGTGCGAGTCAGATGTGATACCGAGTTCCAGCTGTTTAAAATACAATAAAAATAAATATCAAATCGGGTTTTTTTCTCTCGATAATGATGAAACAAATTAAGATGAACTGTTAGAATCGGGGAAACACCGCTCACATTGCATGTTTAACTGGTTATTGTTAACTTGTACACGATTTCTACTTTCACTTTCGAATTTTCTCCGTATCGTACGTAGGGCGGCAGTACTACAGCTGTACCGGTAGGCTTCAGTGTTCAAACAAATTTAACCAACTGAACAATAAATAGACCTAATAAAAATAGTAATGCTGATATACAAATATCCAACATAGCAGAGATCTGGCACGTCGTTCACAGCCTACGATACAGTAGCCTGCAAGGACTGTTGAGTAATTATGCGTTATGTTGCTGTACATAAAATTCAAACATTTAGGGACCTCTGAAATTATGAAACTTTCAAAAACGTAATATTACAAAGACTACAAAATACTTACTTTTAACAGAGACTTGATAAATCCTTTTTCCTCTCAATTTCTGTTACAGCTGATGACGTCAAACATGACGTACAGTTTCGTCCGATAAAAACAAAACCGATCCTGATAAAAGCTACGGACCATTTTTAGCCGGAAAAAAATCCAAATCCAAGTTGACATTTTGAAAGATAGACATAAACCTTATAATCTAAGTCTAGATAATTTACTTTTTTAAGAATGTATGAAAAAAATGGATGAGGTGAAGAGGGTGCTAACAGTTAGAGCACCCCCTTTCCCAAACCCACACGTGTAACACAACCTTACACAAACACACACGCACTTGTATCGGAAATACATATGGACATCTTAATAATTAATTAAATGTCACTAAAATGATTGGCAAGTATTGTTTAAAGTTAGGTCTAAAATTTGAATAATAACATAAATCTCTTGTTATTCTAATTATATAACATGAAATTAACATTAAAGAATTAACGTTAAATTCACGTTAACATGAAATTAACATTAACTAATTAACGTTAATCTAATGTTAATATTTTGGTTCTAGTTTTTAAAGACACCCAAGCTCACTTAAAATTTTAATGTTAATTTAATGTTAAAAATTAACATGAAATTAATGTTAAGTTAAATTAACATTAAAAATTAACATGAAATTAATGTTAAGTTAAATTAATGTTAGAAATTAACGTTAATTTAATGTTAACCTTTTTAATGTTAACTTAACATGAAAGTAACATTAAACTAACATCAAGCTAACGTTAATTTAATGTTAATTGAGATTAACACTAAATTAACGTTAGGCACAATTGGCTGTGTATAAGGAATAAGACATTAATTGCACACCTAATAACACTTTACTTTTAATCAAGTACCAGGTAAAATAATAAAACAAAATGAACTCTCTTGGACGATTTTCTTTCTTTCTTTTTTTTTTATAGATATATAATCTTTTTTCTTTTCTTTTTTTTTTTTTTTTTTTGGGGGGGGGGGGGTTGTCTTTATGAAGTAGCATAAAATATTATTAAAGATTAAAACAATACATCCTATATGAGAATAATTTTATTCTGGTTACAGAGTAAAATTAAAACCAGAAAAAAAAATTGTGACCTATTTTCGTGCGTTTTGGTGTTTTAGTCTAACCCGACCTAATTTCACATTATGTATACGATCAGGAAATGACCTACATTTACTCTTTTAATATGTACATGCTTCTGGTATAGCATGATGTGTTTAAAATGGCATGAAAGTTATTAAAAAAATAATTAAATTAACACTGCTACAAGTTAAACATGGATGACTGTTAACTTCTAATATGTACTTGTATATAGAACTTTACATTTCATACGATGTTGATCAGATTCTGTAGATTCCATGCGAGATTTTGAGAACCACGGTAAACATGGTATATACCTTGTAGAAATGTTTTATAAATTTTCTTTCTCATAAATTTTCATTTTAAAGTCTTATTAATTTTTAATTTTGATTTAAAAGTAAGATATTCAAAACCGCAACAGTGAATTAAAAGCTCTCTCTCTCTCTCTCTCCCGAACGAAGCTGACGAAGTATTCTTTCAACGAGAAAGAAAAAGCCTTAAATAGTTTCAAGTATTATTTCAGCAGTTTCTACAATAAAGGAGGTTTTTATATATTTTCATAAATATCGTGAAATACCGGTATTTCATTTTCATATCGCGATATATTATCGTGGTGGATAATACCGCAATATACCGATATACCGGTAATATTGCACACCCCTAATGGTGAGGGATTAAACTTCAACACTGGTAAATGAACACTTGAATACTAGTATATATATGTACATGTACTGGTACAGTAACTAGTTATTCTTAAATAATCCCCCTCACATACTGGAGTTATTAATTAGTATAGATGTTATAATTATACAATACAATAAAACAAACTACAATATTACTTACCAGTCAGAGAGTGTGTATCTACTACTCTGTATAGGTTGACTGTGTTGTTGTTCTCTGCCCCTACCCACAGTAGTTGTGTGTCCTCATCATAACTCAGGCCCCATGGTTTGTCTATCCCGTGTTGTGATGTGTCTATCTCTGTCAGATAGTGACCCTCACTATCTAACATCTGTACTGACTCGGTCCAATCATCACACACCAGGATGTGTGACAGCGCGTCAGTACAGATTCCACCTGGCCATAGTCCAAATACTGATGTATGACCTGTGTAGGAGAATCGGTAATTACCGTCACGATCTGTCACCACTACACAGACTAAGTCAGACACAATAACATCTCCATTGTGGTTCTCTGTGATGTAGGTAGGCCAGCCATACAGTCCCTGACCTGTGTTGTTGTCGTGCTGTATGGTCTGGATGTTTTCTCCTGTGGAATTATACCGCACTACCTTGCCTGTCTTTGTATCACCTCTATACATCCCGACCAGCAGGTCTCCAGTGGAGGGGGAGCTGTAGACACACACTGGTCTCCATGGTGCTGTGTTGTACTTTATTATCGTAGTCTTTTCTTTGTTCTCTGTAGACAGTTTATTGATGTTTGATTCACTGTCTATGTAGATTAGATCACACTCACGGTTTACACTGTGTCCTCCCACATCACTACCTCTATCTGTCACACGATCTAGTTCTTCCCCTTTAGTGTTTGTCAGTATAAGATTGCCTTTATCATCACTGATCCAGACCCGGTCTGATGTAACACGGGAAATGTGAAGACCACGACTAACACCTCTCACTCTGACAGATTTCTGGTACACTCCTCTATACATTATTTACAGCAGACATCTATTTCTTTATCCTGGTGTTTTAAAACAGACTCCGGTGTGGATTTCCTCTGTCAGGGAGATCTCTCTGTAAATTACAACACAGTGTTAGAATTATCTACATCAGTTACACGTCTCTCCTTATACTGTAAGCATTTATCAATGTCTTAGTTTTAATAACATGATGAATTATATTAAGATACAGTTAAACACAAATACCTTTACACTGAGTACTGAATCCTTTACAAATCTCTCTCTCTTGTATGGTCGAACAGTTCACCATTAGTCTGATCTAAATAATCAAAATTTGATAAATTGAAACATTATTGATAGCTGAAGGTTTTGAATTCTTAAAAAAGTATGATATGAACTCATTTGTAATATTACATGTCAACTTTTCCAGTAGGATTCAACAACTTCACAGCACACTCAAACATTATAATTTATGTTTTCTTTCTACAGTGTGTTGTGACATGTTTATAAATAGTAAACAGAGAATTGTATACCATTACCACACTGATTTCTTGTATCTGGTAGAAACTGTATACATGTACAGGTAGCCTCCATTCATCTTGTTACTGTGTTCTGTTTAAAAAAAAATAAAGAATATATTATTGTTCAGCATTGTTACAAAACATTACATCTCTCCAGTTTATTTATTTAAATAAAGAAAATTGTGTCTTCATTTTGATATTACAAAATTCGAATGAGAGCTTTTATAAGGATTGAGTGTTTGGTTTTAGTAATATTTATTTAAAACATGTAAAAATTGCATACTGCATATGTACATCTATAAATATACTGCATGTACATACAGTGCTGTATATGTATATGTAGAACATGTGTAGTATTCTGTATGAGTGTTATAGTTTTTCCCCCACATATACATGGGCATAGGAAGCAAATTGAAAGTGAAGGGGGGAGGGGGGTGGGCGTAACCCAACAAAAAAGGTAAATCCCAACTTTCAATGCCTATATAATGTCTATTTTTGCAAAAAACGTAGGGAGAGGGGAAGACTTCCCCCCACTCCGATTCTGACGCCTATGCATGTTATATATTGTTACAGACCCTAAACCGTCCTACTACACCATGAGAACGGTACGGTTCGGTTCGCTTTGTGCACGGAACGGTACGCTTTGTGGACGGTACGGTACGCTTTGTGCACGGAACGGTTCGCTTTGTGGACGGAACGGTACGCTTTGTGGACGGTACGGTACGCTTTGTGCACGGAACGGTTCGTTTTGTGCACGGAACGGTACGCTTTGTGGACGGTACGTTTCGTTTCTTGCACGGAACGGTTCGTTTTGAGGACGGTACGCTTTGGGAAACGGTATGCAAATGAAGTGGGCGGAGCCTGTTAGCTTTGGTCCTTGATTGGCTGCTAAATATTAATTCATTTTAAATAAAGTACTTAATGAACGTATATAATTATATTTCCGTTATTTAAGAATGTAATTTATTTATTTTTCATATAAACTTAAGTATGAATGAGTTAATTTCTATTTTTTACTGAAGTTTAAATGTTGTATTACATGAATATGTATGTAACTGTGTTTATCATACTCATGTATGTTATGTCTCGGTTTCAATTTTAAAAATGAGATGGAGGAAAAATAAAAAAAAGGAAGAAGAAAGGAACAACATCGTCCCATTGATCTTTTTAGCATCATGTACTGTACATATATAAAATTGATATTGATTATATAGGACGTAAATATTTCCGTACGTATTTTTTTACGTATGCTGGGGCTTCATTTTAAAAAGAATATACCGGTATATATACATGTTTATAATATTTTTTTCTTTTTAAAATAAAGCTGTAATGTAATTAAATGAAGGAATATATTTCTCTATATACATGTATAACACTTAACACGTATATAAATAATTTTTAATTGATTGATCTATAGAAAAACATCACTAATCGTCCTTTTATTTTTAGTGATTAGAAAATTAAAGAAAATCGTTTCTCATTTTTAAAATTGTAGATTTGTCGTTTAGACGTTTGCTTCAGAGGAGAAATATCAGTTAATGAAAAAAACGATAACTTACGAATAGAAGATTTTTTTTTCTTTTATACATGTATATTTTATCGATGTACATATTTTTCTTAATTAGTGTGTACAAACACATTATCGACAGGATTATTACACTGTATTAATAAATTATAATTATATTTATTTATTTATTTATTTGTTTATTTATTTATCTATCATTCGTTCATTCATTCATCTATCTGTCTGTCTAATTATTCTTAAATAAACGGAAAAATGTCATTTATGCACGCGTCGGCACGTGGCATTGTCGCAAACCTTATGAGGGATCTATACAACATAAACTTGCTGACCACCTACAACCCTCTCTCCTCAAACACTCCCCTACACAAAACAATGACAGGGGTAGTGGTATGGCGTCAGAGGAGCACCCGATTTTGTGTACATGTAACACACAAGTCCAGTGACAAGTTATATCCCCCCTCCAAAAAAAGACAATAGATTGGACTAAAGGCTTCAGTTGGTTGACTGACATTAAACCGTCGCGACTTGATTGCAACACTTCAAAACCACTTCAGTTATCAACAGCGGTATCTGAAATAGAAGAATCTTTAAGTATAAAACTATTTATTTTTTTTAGTACAACTGTATTCAAAATGCACCCATAGAGTACTTTATTTTCTTTTCAATAACTTCCGAGCGCTTTCTCGTAATAAAAAAACATTCTTTTCACAGACAAGTATTTATGTTTTCAATAATTCTTTCAGTGTATTAAGTAATTATTTTTAGAAGTTTTTCTTTATTTTATTAAGTTATTCTATTCTTGTAAAGTCTGTAAAAACAATGTCGTGAGAGAGAGAGAGATAGAGAGAGAGAAGGGGGGGTATACAGAGAGATGCAAACCCTTAATACATTATCTGTAAATAAAATTAAACTTGTATTTATTCTCATTCTACGTTTTATTTACATCGCCAAAGTCACAATTAATCAGTCTATGATGTTATTTAATCAACCCAGTTACAACTATTTTGCAATGAATAATCCGTTCTCTGTACATGCATGCTGCAGGCATGAAATCCACGTGCTTCACTTGTCAATCAAAATGGCATCATGATGACGCTAGGTGACCCTGAAAGTCTGTTTACGCAGGAAGAATTTCTCCTGTGATTTGAAACATTCTTATCTTCCTAAATTATCCCTTTTCAGACAAAAAAAAACATGTATCCCTTAATTATATATATATATATATATATATTTTTATACAAAAGCACAATTTCAAGCCACATAAATTCGCATAAGTATCGTCTTCTAGCGTGGGGGGGGGGGGGGGGGGTAACAAACATAATATGGCTTGAAAGAGGACTTATATATAATATATATATATATATATTTAATTTCATTTTATTTAGTAAATTATCTTTTCTTCTGACGCTTATAAAAAAGTGTAGATTATGATTTATTTTATTTAAAATATCGTACCATTTTGCAGACTTTTAAAGAACTTTTAACCAGCTAATTCGTATTGCTTTCTAGAAAGGGGATGGGGGTACAGTGTAACAAACCTTATAATATCTTCATTTTTTCGCAAACTGGTTTTTTTTTTTTTTTTCATTTTTCAAAAGATGTTTTTCAGAATGAAGTAATATTTATACTGCAGTTTGCAGATTTTATTTGCAAGAAATTCGGCTGGCGATTTTTGTATGCAGCGTGAAAGTTGATCACAGTTTTATTAGTAAGATTATATTCTCTGTCTGTTCAGTAGAAATCTTCATGTTTGCCGCATATAATATTTTAATCCATATTTTACATGATTACAGATTTTCAGTGCAAGTATAACTGCGCCAATGATTCGCCTATAGTAAGAATCTTAACAGAATTAATGTGAGAGTCTAATATGGATCTTTTTTTAAATTTGACAGTTTATATATGTTTTAAAATTCTTACAAAATAATTCATTAGTAAACGCATCTGATATGTACTACATATGAATGCATACTTAAGACAAAAACGATCTTGTATCCGATAAGATTTAAATAAAAAATTTAAATGATCAAAATTAAAATCAAAAGTAGTGACAACCAGGGAATTAATTCATGAAAGCGTGTTCTATCTTTGTGGTATTATAGTCTATTGAACTTTTTTTTATGTCAAATACAATTATAGGATAAAATTATGAAACATGAAAATACATATGTACATGTAAGTCGGTTTTTTATTTCCCCGGGCACGAGCACAATTATATTGAATTTTGGGGAATCTTATAATATTAGTTTAAATATCGGTATAGTTAAATTACGAATTTTAAATACAGTTAATATTTCAAAAGGAAATTGATTTAATTTGGTAATAGTATGAAAATGAAAGACTTTAAAGACACCGACATTGTTCAAGGTCCACTGTGCCCCGTACGTGTTTTGCAGGAAAAACTCGTGGCCTGTACTGTACCTTTGACCACAAACACAACCAGTTGTTCTAATTTTTAGCAAATAAGGAATCGTCTCACACTCTGTCTAGTTTTGAAGTTGTAGTTTGCTTCGAGTAGTTTCCTTATTTTTACAGTTGAAGGTCCAGACGCATGATACTTGATAATGGTGTTTCAAACATGCAGACACAACCTCCGTCCTCCTTTCACAGGCGCCGTAGCGAGAAATAAACCAAAATGACTTATTTGGTCATTACACGATTCAAAAATCATTGGGGGCGTGGTTTGCATAATTAACCAAAGAACGGTACGGTTCGTTTCTTGCACGGAACGGTACGCTTTGTGGACGGTACGGTACGCTTTGTTCACGGAACGGTTCGCTTTGTGGACGGTACGGTACGCTTTGTGCACGGAACGGTTCGCTTTGTGGACGGAACGGTACGCTTTGTTCACGGAACGGTTCGCTTTGTGGACGGTACGGTACGCTTTGTGCACGGTACGGTACGCTTTCTGCACGGAACGGTACGGTTCGTTTCTGAGGTGTAGTAGCACGGTTTAGGGTCTGTAGTATCTCCAATCATTAATAAACATTTTACAGCGATTAAAAATTTGACTTCAGTCTAAATCTGTCTCATGAATCTGGAACCAGAACCCCTTACCCAGGGACAAGGAAATTCACAATTTTGGAAGAGCCATATTTTTTTTAATCATTTAAGTATTTTTAAGGGATGGCAATCAAATGCAGAATTCCTAATCGATTAACTGCAAGTTAACAAGTTTCAACTGATAAACCAGTTAATTGTATTGAAATACATATGTATGTAGTAATTAGTTTGTTTGATACCAAGGGGCAGAGAAAAAAGATTTTCAAAGAAGTTAAGCATTTTCACTATATACAACTGTAATAAATATAACAAAACCCTAACACCAGAATCCCTCATTCTGGGACCATGAAATTCAAAATTTTATACATGTTATAAGAGACACCTTTCATCATTGTAAATACATGTATGTACGTAGTTTGTTTAACACCCAGGGACAGAGAAAACAGATTTTGAAAGAATTAATACATTTTCATTATATAATCAAAAGAGCCCTGCCCTAACACCAGAACCCCTGACCCCGGGCAATGAGTTTCAAAATTTTGGAAGAAGACTGAATTTTTATTACAATCATGCAAAAAGTTTGACTGCTTGAGGGCTATGATTAAAGGAGAAGATTTTTTTAGATTGAATTAATATTAGTAGTTTTGGCCCCACCCCTCAGGTTCCGGGGGCGGGGCCATGAAATTCACAATTTTTGTTACCCTTCACTCATAAATTATGCTATATATGCAAAATTTGGCTGAAATTGGTTCAGAGAAGCTAAAAATGTTCATAAGATCATAAGATTACACTCAACAAATGACATACGACAATGGACAAAAACAGATAGCAATAGGTCACCTGAGTTACTCGTGTGAGGAGGGGGGCATAAAACTTAGATGAGCTCACTTCTGGTCTCAGTCTCACTTTTCAACTAAACATTCTTTTAGTAAGAGTGAGATTCACTGAGATCAAAAGAGAAGTTGTCTAAGTTTTATGACCCCCATGGTCTGGTGATAAGACAAGAGGCCCATGGACCACATGGCTCACCTGAGAAGCTTTGACCATGTTATTCTTAACCCGAATTCCCCCTTAGTTCTTGATAAGAAGATTTTGAAAGATTTTTCTTATATATTTCTATGTAAAACTTTGATTCTCTACTGTGGCCCGCCCAACCCCCGGGGGGTCATGATTTGAACAATTTAGAATTTATACTACCCCTGGATGCGACTACATAAGTTTCAGCTTTTCTGGCCCAGTCAGTGGTTCTTGAGAAGAAGATTTTGAAAGATTTTTCCTAGATATCTCTGTGTAAGACATTGATTCCCTATTGTGGCCCTGCCCAACCTCCAGGGGTCATGATTTGAACAATTTCGAATCTACACTTCACCAGGATGCTTCCACATAAGTTTCAGCTTTTCTGGCCCTGTAGTTCTTTAGAAGGAAATTTTGAGAAAGATTTTTTCTATATATTTCTATGTAAAACTTTGATTCTCTATTGTGGCCCGCTCAAACCCTGGGGGTCATGATTTAAAAAATTTAGAGTCTACACTACCCCAGGATGCTTCCCCATAAGTTTCAGCTTTTCTGGACCTGTGGTTCTTGACAAAAAGATTTTGAAAGATTTTTCCTATACATTTCTATGTAAACTTTGATTCCCAATTGTGGCCCCGCCCAAACCCTGGGGGTCATGATTTGAACAATTTACAATCTATACTACCCCAGGATGCTTCCAAATAAGTTTCAACTTTTCTGGCCCAGTGGTTCATGAGAAGATTTTTAATGACCCGAGCCTATCTTTGTCTGTTTTTGATTATCTCCCCTTGGCCCAGCGGTTCTTGAGAAGTTGAAAATGTAAAAGTTTACAGACGGACAGTAGACGGACGGATGGATAACAGACAAAATATGATTAGAACTCACAGAGTTTTAAGCTCAGGTGAGATGAAATGTGTCAAGTTTACAGAAAGGCAGACAGAGAGCATACAGACTATTTTCAGAAAAGTTCATGCTCAGGTGAGCTACAATATGTAAAATTATAGACAGACAGAATACAAAATGTGATCAGAAAATCTCACTTAAAATCAGGTTAGCTAAAAATGTTATGAGCAGAAAAGTTCAATATTTTGTAGTTGCATATTGAGTTCATTTTACTCCTGATATTGAGATAATTTTTTTTCTTTTTTTCCCCTCATACTTCACATTCATAAAAAATATAAAAAAAAGTTCTTCCCACTTGTGAAATATATCTATCTTTTACATTCAACTACAAAACTTTTAATATTTTTTAGGTAAAAGAGATTTTAAAAACCTGCAAGGAGATGATGCTTCCCTTTCCCTGACAATGGTTGGATATTACACACTGGAGAACCTGTCAAAATAAATTAAGACTATTTAATACATACAACCTATGTATCTATATAAATAATGAGTCCCTTAGCTTGTAAAACACCAGAAGTGCTTAAGTTCAAATAATGCTTTCTAAAGATATGTTTATACATACATGTATACAAAACTTGAAGTATATATGTATATGAATACAAGTACAATGTAAATTAATGTTTACAATTGACAAGGGTCAATAAATATACATGTACCCTTGTGAGAGATTTAAAAAGAAACCTGTAAGGAGATGATTCTTTCCTCTTCTAGACAATTGGATAGTAGGATTCTGGGAAATCTGTCAAAATAAATTGAGACAATTAACCTATATATAAATAATGAAGCCTTGAGCTTGTGAAACACTACAAGGCCAAAAGAAAAAATAGTCTTGTTTCCTGCTACCCAACCTATCCATATTTTTTTTTTAACTTTTTGGGGAAAAAATTGAAATTGCAGGAATTCTATGTTAAAGTGAAAAAAATATATATTTGAATTTGTATTTCATGACATATATGTTTAAATATGGACTTTCAGTAAATTCCGTCTTGAGTTGCAGCGATTTTTTTCCACGCATTGGGAAAGGGTCCGTTACCGGTTCAATTGGGAAAAATAGCATAGAAGAAAAACAGAATTTTCTCTTATTTATGCAAATGCAACGTATTTTGCGTTTATTCCAATTTAATTACCTATTACTCTTTGTTTGAAAGAGTAAGCAACAAGTACTAATTGTTTTTCATATCAACGCCCCATGTTTTCACATTTTCATGCTTTCAATTTGTCAAAATGTGTAACACTAATTAACGCTGTCTAAACCACAGGTCCCTCCAAATTACGACTTTCTCTACTTTCGATTTAATTGGTATAGTGAAACAATTAGTCAACTTGTACACTGTTTTATTAAACAAGAAGTACGATGTCATCGTTGTCTTTTGCATTACAGTTGAATTGGGAATTTTTAGTCACAGAATTGGGAAAAATTAACGTTTTTTGGCATTGGGAACGGTGCCATTTATCAGTACCAGTTATATAAGGAAAAAAAACGCTGAGTTGTGCATCTCGACTCAATTGGAACTGCTACAGTGCTACCCAACCTACCCAATATTTTTGCTCTACTACCTTAATTTTTTTTTAGCTTTTGGGGAAAAAAATTAAAATTGGGGGAATTCTTTGTTAAAGTGAAAAAAGATGTATATATTCGAAATTGTATTTCATGCCATACCCAGGGTTTCAGATTGAAATAAGTAACTATAGGACATATGGCATATTTACCAGAAAAGTTATAGGCCATTTTGTCCTAAACTTCCTAAAACTATAGGTCAATAGAAAATTTAAACTTACTCAGATTTATCTGACTTTTACAAAACAATCATTTAATTACAAAAAATATTCAAAAATGTTCATAATTTTTTTTAAAATAAAAAGTGGAAAATAATATTCATTTTGTTTTTTTTTTTAAATAAAATAAATTTATTGAAACAGAATGGAAATTGTTTTGTTTAATTCCATTCAATAGATGTTTTACTGATATTAGTCGTATCCCTTTCATTACAGCCATGAATTTATTTCTTATTATTACAATTTTTTAAAAATAATTATCCAGAAATTAGACCTGTATTTCTCATTATATGTTTGATTACATTTAAAGATTGTCTAGATTAAAAATGTTTTCGTTTGTATAGTAAAACCTTACAATATTGTCCGCTTCCTGCTATTAGTCCGACCTCATGTACAATCATGGCGGTAAAAATAACAACATGACATGGATTCCTTCGATGTTTGAAACATTCATCACTACTTTTATGCTCATTGCACTTGGATTTGGAAATAAAATATAAGTATTTTTTGTCAGAATTTAATACCCAAATGTAATTGGCTGATTGAATCTGCAGTTGCAGAAAGTATTTTAAAAAACAATCGGATCTGAATGGGAGAAGAACTATACAACTGGCCTTTACATAGAGAAAATAATCGGCCATTATGTCTGCTCAATGTAAAACTCATAGGCCATTTTGGCAGGTTAATTTGATTTTTTCCGGCCTTTTTGAATTTTTATCGGCAAATGGCCGATGGCCGACGCCAGTCTGAAACCCTGCATACCGTATATCCATTTTTTCGCGATGATCTATTTTTCGCATTTTTGTGACCATTTTTAATTCGCAAAAAATAAAAAGCGCAGAAATTGCAGGAATTCTATGTTAAAGTGAAAAAAGATGTATATATTCGAAATTGTATTTCATGCCATACCGTATATACATTTTTTTCGCGATGATCTATTTTTAGCATTTTTGTGACCATTTTTAATTTGCAAAAAATAAAAAGCACAGAAATTATATCCATTTCATTAAATTTCGATCATTTCATTAAATTCCTTCTGAGTGCATCAAAAGATTTAATTGGAATATCATTTTAAAAGATAATTTTGACCTAGCTATGACATGTTTATTTTGATTTTCAGAAAGCGAAAGTAACCTAGGCGTTTTACATTCGAATACAGAATTAGAACACATTTTTTTCAAATTTATAATTAGCAGTTGTTTCAAATAGTGGAAAAATCCCGAGGTAACCGAATGTTTTTTCACTTTCTGTCCATGTCAACTGTCTTACAATCTCTCACCAGAGGGCGTTGTTTACGCTCCACTTCAACACCTCTGTTATCGTCTAAATTACAAGAATCTTGTAAAACAAAAATAAATCATAAATTGCTACCAACTTGGTAATTTTTTAAAATGAAATTAGAAATATCAATCTGTCATACTTCTTTTGTTCTTTCAAAATTTGGATATATATATTAATTAAAAATAGATTCAATATATACGGTACTATTTCCTTAAGAATTTTTACACATATTTTCATTTTGAAACCAAGGAGACAAAGTCAGGAAATATTTACTACCAAAGAGCTTAAAACATGTAACATCATTGAAAAATCATACAAAACAATCAAGGTTTATACAATTTTTGTTGACAAATAATTACATGACAATCCACGCTACTTTTTAGACAACAACAGAGGTGTAAGCAGAGCGCCCCCTCTAGTGAGAGATTGAACTGTCCTAACGAGCGAGTCTGGATTATTTTAGTCTGAAATGTGTATTGAAGAGGTTCCAAGGGGGAAATTTCAGCATAAGGTCTTAGAAGAATCATTTCTTGACAGATCCGTGGCGGTGAGTCAGTAAAATACGGCAAAATATAACAAAAACAGAGGTTGAAGCGAGGAAGGGGTCCAAAATGGCGTCCTCCCATGTGTAGTTTTATTATTTCGGTATATGATTTTTTAATGAATAATTATTACACGCCGAGAGCAAGTCCCTGTGGCAAGAGCAATTTATAGTCATAATGTACTTCCTTGTTGACAACTTACATATATACAGGTGTCTCATTATATCGCGGCACTTAATTCTTTTGCATAAAACGTGTCATTTCTAATTTTTATTTTACCTTACATCAAATGATAATTATAATTCTGACTTTGGTCTAACTTTTCAGTGTCCAATTATTTTCCAAGCTTGCATCGTTTAATTTGTGGTCTATTCTTAAAACAGGAAGTCTTATTTACCTCCTAAATTGGAGAGTCTCATTGTATCGCGGTATGGGAATACATGGAAACTTGTAAATGACAAAGACCTCAGTTTTTATTTTTGAAATTTACGATGTAATTCTACATGAAAAAGTGAACAATTGAATAAACTAAAGACTTAAAAAGACGAACTTTATTATAATTTTTACGAGGTTATAATTCTAATGGTCTAAATATAATTAAAACCGGACTGGAAATCTGAAAATTTCGTTTCATTTTTTTTTTCAAACGGATGTTCCGTACTTTTTAATCATCAAAAAATTAAACATTCAGACAACATTCATATTGTCTATCAACAAAAAGAATATAGGCTATGTATCCACATTTTTGCGATATACCGCGATACAATGAAACCCGCGATATAATGAGAATCGAGTATATACACTGTACTCTAGCGTAAACACTGGGTAATGTCTAGGAGATATGACTTTGATTACCAATTATTTCACACTTGTTCCTCCCAAGAATACTGCTTTCAACTGTGACTTTACAAGCTTATAATAATATTAATAAAGGCCTAGGTCATACTCTTTTCGACGCCTGCGTCTTTTTGGTCTTGACCTTTGGAAATGTCGTATGACAGTATTTTTGTATTTCGATCCCGATATATATTTTTTACTTAGCGCTGGTAATGCATAATATGAATGTTTAAAAGAATGGTATAAAAAATAATTTACCCCAAACTTAATTTGACTGTAATGTATATGTAGTAGATGTATATTTTATTAAATAATATAATAAATGATAATGAACATGATGAAATAAAATAAATAATAATATATATATGATATACAGATATATATTAAGAATAATCTTCTTCAGTAAATAACTGCAGTCTGAACCTTTTTAAGCTTGCCATCAACTGATAAATGATTTAGCTTTCAACGACTTTAAAAAAGGACGAGGCTTCTGGAAGTTTAATAATTCTCTTTTAAGGGACAAAGAGTACTTAGATAGCATTAAAGAGGTTATTAGTAATATTAAAAAGCAGTATGCTGTACCAGTGTATGAAAGAAAATGTATAGATTCTCTTCACGACAAAGACATATGTTTTACTATAAATGATCAATTGTTTCTTGAAACTCTCCTAATGGAAATCAGGGGCAAAAGTATTTCATATTCTTCATACCTAAAAAAGAAAAATGAAAATGCAGAAAAAAAATTAAGAGAAGAAATAAATAAACTTGAAGAAAATATTACAGATGAAAATATTTCTGATTTGGAAAACAAAAAACAAGACCTTGAAAATTTAAGAAAACATAAATTACAAGGTATATGTGTAAGAAGTAGGGCACGATGGGTAGCAATCTCCTATGCAGAGTTGTCGTTCGTTCCTCTCTCAGAATGTATGAGCCGATGGTAGAGAGTGGATGGATAGATGAGGGAGAAAAACCTACAAGATATTTCTGTTCTCTAGAATCTAGAAACTATACTAGTAAAGTAATACCTATGCTAGAATTAGATACAGGGGAGATAATCCATGATCAAGCACAATTTTAGAAGAAACAAAGAATTTTTATGAAAAATTATATTCTGATTCTGTATTGAGTGAACCACTGAAAGAATTTGAGTCTGATCTAATAAGTGAGAATTCTCCAAAATTATCTAATGCAGAAGCTGAAGAATTAGAAGGTTTCATTACTTTACAGGAGGCTTCTAGCACTTTAAACAAAATGAAAGCAGACAAATCACCTGGTTCTGATGGTTTTTCAACAGAATTTTTTAAAGTTTTTTGGAAATACCTTGGACACTTTGTTGTTAGATCAATTAATTATGCATATGAGAATAATCTTATGTCTATCACACAGAGACATGGTATAATAACACTTTTACCTAAGGGGGATAAGCCAAGACAATTTCTAAAAAACTGGCGGCCAATAACACTCCTAAATACTATATACAAAATTGCGTCAGGTACTATTGCTAACAGAATAAAAAATAAATTGGACAAATTGATAAATAGTGATCAAACGGGATTTATTTCCAATAGGTACATAGGAGAAAACACACGTTTAATTTATGATATAATGCAGTACACAGAAGAAGAAAATATACCAGGCTTGTTACTTTTGATTGACTTCGAGAAAGCTTTTGGTACTATTTCATGGAATTTTATTCAGAGTTCCTTACAATTTTTTAATTTTGGTCCCTCAATACAAAAATGGGTGAAATTGTTTTATACTAATATAAATTCCACAATTAATCAAAGTGGTAATTTTTCACAAAGATTTAATATACAGAGAGGGTGTAGACAAGGGGATCCCCTATCACCCTATATCTTTATCTTGTGTGCAGAAATTTTAGCAATAATGATAAGAAAAAATAAAAAAAATCAAGGGAATTACTGTAAAAAATATGGAAAAGAAAATATCCCAATTAGCAGATGACACTTCAATCCTTTTAGATGGTAGCAAAGAATCATTAACAGAAGTGATGAAAACATTAAAGACATTTTCAGAAATGTCTGGTTTATACATCAATTGTTCGAAATCCCATGCAGTTTGGATTGGTTCCAAAAGATTTAGTCAAGAAATGCTAAGTAATGAGTATAATCTTAAGTGGGGATGTACAAGATTTACCTTACTTGGAATTCATTATGATGTTGATTTGAACGAAATTGAAAGACTCAATTATGAACCAAAATCAAAACAAATAAAAGCTATAATTAGTCAGTGGAGTAAGAGATATTTGACACCTGTTGGAAAGATAACTGTTCTTAAAACTCTTGTTTTACCACTGCTAAACCATATACTAATGGCTATTCCAAACCCACCAGAAAACCTTTTGAAGGAACTGGAAAAATTATTTTTCTCATTTGTATGGAATGGTCCTCAACACAGAATAAAGAAAGATGTCCTATTAAAAAAATATGAAGAAGGCGGACTAAAAATGATAAATATTAGAGCTTTCACTGCATCACTTAAATTATTTTGGATGAGACAGCTTATACTGTCAGATAAAGGTTTACAAAATTTTTTACCTAATCTAGATTTGATAAAAATATTAACGTGCGGCATTGAATATATTAAAAATATCATGAAGAACCTTAAAAACAAGTTTTGGAAAGATGTCTCAATTGAGGCTTGGATTGAATTAAATAATAAAAACTATAGTTTATCCAAGGTTACAGGAGACATACCAATTTTTTATAATCCTAAAATTGTCATTGGTGGGAAAGTTATTTATAATAAAACTATGTATGACTTGAATATTAGATTTATTAATGATCTTATAGACGAAAATGGTTCCTTTTATAGTTTTGAGGAATTTTGTGGCATATATCCAAATGTAAGGCTTAATTTCTTAGATTTTGCAGGTATAATACATGCTGTAAAGGCATGGATGAAAGCAACAGACACTAACGATATAATTGCAAAATTACCTAACCCATTAATTTTGTCCAGCACTCATTTTCTTTCAATGTGTAAAAAAACAAAACAGTTTTATGAATTAATCAATGTAAATGATATTGAACCCACTGGGAAAATAAAATGGAATGATATTTTTAATTTAGGGGAAAGTGAATGGAAAAGGATTTTAAACTTCCTTTTAAAATTACAAAAAATAGTAAACTGCAATGGTTTCAATACAGAATTCTAAATAAAATACTAGGTACAAACTCATATCTATGTAAAATAAGGAAAAGAGATAATAACTTATGTTCTTTCTGCAATATGGAAGAAGAAACAATAATACATATTTTATGGGAGTGTGACAATGTACAAACTTTCCTCAATAGTTTCGAAAGATATTGTGAGCAAAAGATAGGGTTGCAAATTTCATTTACAAAGCAAAGTTTTATTTTGGGATTTCTAGTAAAAAACAAAGACATTCATAACCTACTGTTCCTATGGATAAAATATTATGTATATACAATGAGATGCTTAGGAAAAAAATTAGATGTCAGACTTGCGACTTCACATATTAATTTCTTTTATGAAACTCAAAAATATTTAGCATATAAAAATGATGACAGAGAGATTTTTGACACCAACTGGAATCAGTGGAATCAATTGTTTTTATAAAATGAAATAGTTTTTTTTTTTTTTTTTTTTTTTTATTTTATGTAAAGGAATTAACATGCCATCTCTCCCTCTCTCTTCTTCCCCTTCCCTCTCTTTCTCTCTCTCTCTCTCTCTCTCTCTCTCTCTCTGAAAAAACCAATCTGTAATATAATAAATTGTGTATTTTGATTTATGAAACAGATTGTGTAAAATAAATAAAGAATTAAAAAAAAAAAGATTTAGCTTTCAATCTATTGACTCTGGCCACAGGTGCTCGTGGACAGGATTATCACTACCCCCCCCCCCCCCCCCCCTTTCAATATAAAAAAAATTCTGATTATTTTTTTATTCTTCATTTCTAATCTCTGACAAATTTATTTAATTTATATGTTTCTATTCTATTTGAAAAGCACAGAAATAAATCAATCATATGCAATTTCTATTCACAGTCGTTTCACGCATATATATAAGAATTTTATAAATATTAACATTGCAATTAAGTGACTGAGGTTTAAAATACACTTTAAACTCTATATATACGTGAAACGACTGTGAATAGAAATTGCATATAATTGATATATTTCTGTGATTTTCAAATAGAAACATATAGATTAAATTGTCAGAGATTAGAAATGAAAAAATCGGAATTTTTTTTATTATTGAAATAAGGGGGGGGGGGGATGTTAGGGATAATCCTGTCCACGAGCACCTGTGACCCTGGCTTCATATTAAAGCCTCTCTATACAAATGTTTTTTTTTTTATTATCTACCTATAAGCAGAAGGTTTACAATCCAAGCGTAACATCCAACAGATATAATTTCATAATTTGTATCTTATCCTAAATCCACAGAAAACAAAAATTCTGTACTGACCATAGGAACTTTCATGTTCAATCAATTAAGAAGGAGCAGGCAGTCAATGGAGCTAAGATGATTCAGCTTGCTGCTGGTGGTGTTGTCCGTTCCACGAAAAGAAAATAGGCCTATTGACGATTAGACCGCCCAAGTTTTACATTGAAATATTATGTATATAGGAAAATAAAAAAAAAAAATTCCCAAGAACCACTGGACCAGAAAAGCTGAAACTTATGTGGAAGCATCCTAGCTGGGGTAGTGTAAAATATAAATTGTTCAAATCAATACCCCCAGAGGCAGGGAGGGGCCATAATATGGAATGCAAGTTTTACATTGAAATATATGAGAAACAACAGGCCCATGGGCCACATGGCTCACCTGAGTAACTTTGGTGATGCATTTCTTTACCAGATTTCCTGTCTTGTTATTTTACATATTCTGGCCCGTTCCCCCTCCCCTGTCATGATTTTAAGGTATTAAAATTTACACTACTCCAGGTTGTATCATCAATGCAAGTTTGATCCTGGTAGCACTTATAGTTACTTGGGAATGGACCTGCTCCAAAAACTTTAACCTGGTCACTCATCTGCATGGAAAATGTAAGTCAGATCCAGCAATCGAAGCGTGTCTGGTAGTATCAATCCCTAGATGCATGCAAATTTGATCCAAGTAGGGCTGACAGTTACTTGGGAATAAATCTGC